CAGATCAAGGAAAGTTAGATCTTTTGGACTCATTACTATTTTACATCATACAGTCCATCAGAAGACAAGATCAAAAGATGATATCTTCTCAAGTCAATCTACTTCATCAGAATTAATATTCATTAGAAGATAGTATCATCAGAAACATGCACTAGAAGAGTTAGTACAAAGGTACAATTACAAATTCCACTCAATTGGATGTACTGTGTACTTTTGTATCCTATGATCGTTTCTTACCATTAGAAGCTGGAAATATGAAAGTGACGTGTGTACTACTACAATAGTTTACTTCCTCAACACCTATATAAAGGTTCAAGTAATTCATTTGAATTGGGAGAGAGACAACACAGCAAATATAGAACACAAGAACAGTAACACTGCCCAAATCAAAGCAAGAAAAAGAAAAAGATTAAAAACACAAGAGTTATCACTCATTATTGTGTTGATATTATTATTTGCAAGAAAAAAAATTTTGTTGCTCATTATTGTGTTATTATTTTAATTTTTTTAAACACAAGAGTTGTTGCTCATTTTTGTGTTAAACAAATTTATACTTAAACATTTGCCTAATCTGCTTGTAAGGAGCAATCTTGTATACACATTATTCAACTGTAAGTTGATTGTTCCTTGAGTGACTAAGGTATTAGTCATAATACTCAAGAATATTTAAAGAAATATCCTTTAAGGGACCAGGTATCAGAAGCCTTAAGGAGCTAGTGATCGTTATATCTCTTAGGGGATCGGGTAGGTCAGAGTTCTTAAGGGATCACTAACAGGATATCATTGCTTTGTTGTTAGTCACCGGCGGGTAGCCCATGCATTTGTAATCTTTCAATATTACTGGATTAAGTCCTTTTGTAAGGCAAAATCACCTTGGCGGATGGACAAGAGTAGCCTTTTCTAAGGTGAACTGGTATAAACCAAATGTGTCATTATTTCTCTCTATAGCATTGATTCTATTTTGGTTGTTTGTGTAAAGCACTTCTAAACGAAAAAAATTTGAAAACCAAATACAAACCCCCCTTTCTAGAATTTTTCTCAACCTTCACCCTCATCATGTGTGATATCCATGGTTTATAAGAAGAAGACCATACCTGAAGAAGCCATCAGTGTTTTGTCAAAGTTGAAAAGTGAAAAATGAAAAAAATGTGGAGATTTCCAAATACGCATGATGTCCCACAAGATGCTTGAACATCCTACCTCCTTTAAAGTTCGAGAGTTAGTTCTTATGATCCTCATGGAATCCACACAAGTGAAATCCTAGGTGGTAGAAATAATACCTCGTGTGTGAAGAATGATAAAGGAAAAATCATTTATGATTTTGGGATTGGTAAAATGTCATATAAGATGGTGGAGCATTATGTCCAACTATTGCAGTATGAGGTTGAGATAAGTCTAGATGGAGAAATCAACTAAATTCTTGGGAATCAAGTAAAAATAGAAGTTAACTCTATTATTTCTCAAAACAAGTATGCAAAGCAAGTTGAGTTTGAAAGACTAAGGGTATTCTTGGCATTTACATGTATTAATAACTAAACAAAGGATGTGTGAAAAAGTAAATTCTCTCTCTCTCTCTCTATCATTATTGCACAAGATAATAGGCACATCATTCCTATTATAGTTCATTTTCAAAACTTCTCCATTTCTAAACGCCTAAAGAGTTATTGTTATCTCTCTCTATTGTTCTAGCACATATATTCGCCTTCATCCCTCTCAATCCATTTTCAAAATGAGTCAAAAATTTAATGATGTGGAAGATGATATGAGTTAAAATAGGGAAGAAATAAACACCAAAGAAAACTAGGGTTTTTAAATCTAGCGACAATGATGATGAACCTATTATGTTTTTAAACCCAAAAAATCTTAAAATGGTTGTTCCAGTTGACATTTCAATAGATAAATCAAAGAGTGATTCCATCAATAAGAAGAAAGCATCTGAAAAGGTTAGTACCTCTGAAAAGGAACCATTTATGCATGTTCATGATCCTGATGAAACCGTGTGTGATACGGTGGCAGAACCGACTGTTATATACTGGTTTTGTGTTTGTGTTTACAAATATGCGGTAAGCAGGAGTCGCCACCGTCTTTTCTCTTATCCAACAAAGGAAAGAGTGAAAAGAACATAAAAAGACCTTTTCAAGAATTTTCTGAGTAAGGGGGTAGATTATTGAAAGGGAAGGTGTTAGCACCCTTTCTATCAGTGGTTTTCCACGGTCTCTTAGAGGTTTGCTCATTTTAAAAATACCTTTGTGCTTTGTGTTTAAAAATGTTTTAAAAATGCCTTAGTACGATGAACTTTGTAATGTTTCTCAGGATAGTGGAGAAAGTATACAAAGTGTTTTGAAATGTCTTTTGAAAAGTAGTTTTTGTGTAAGTGCAAAATGTTTGAGCAAACTTCTAACATCTATTTACTTTTATACTCGAAAAGGGTCTTTTTTTCCTCTTTTCCTTTAGACAATGTTATCCTACTATTAGTGAGTAGGTAGCTTTGTTGTCGGATGTTTGAGGGACAATCGAAGGGACGTTTTACAATCATGAAGGCAACTTGTGGAGACGTTTTAGAAATTTTATTTTAGGGATTAGATCATTTACCGAAAGGCAACTGTAGGGTCATCGAGGGACTATGATCTTTTTGATTTAGGGATCTTTGCTAAAACATTTATGCCTCATGACTGTTTTATTTTTTTAAAGGCAACCAAAGTGGGATATCCTAGAGGTGCTCGTGTGCAATTGTGTTTGATTCAGTTATTTTTTTCTTTTTGTCAAGTTTGTTAATGTTTGATTATTAGTCTTTCCATACACGCCTAGTTACTAACAGTTAAAATGTATAGAAAATAAAGTGCGGAAAGCATAAATCTAGACTATTACATGGCTTTGGGAGAGATACAATATAAGTGTAAGAAGTAAAGTATGGAATTTTAAATCTAAAACTATTACATCCATAATCAGTTACAATATTTATGTAAAATGCAAGAATAAAAATAACACATGTGAAATGAATATTACATCTAAAAACCTAAGAAAATTCTAAGTAAACAAGGAAAAATCCTTTTTTTTGGTTTTGTTAAGAAAATAATTAACTCTAACTTTAATTTAAGAAAATAAATATTGAATGTAATTAAACTAATTCTATTTTTTTTTTTTTGCATTTTTTATATTTAAGAATGCATTTGAAACATAAATTAAATCCTACATTCTAATTCATTTTTAATTTAAGAAAGTAGTTAAAATTTAATTAATTAATTAATTAAATAAATTAATTGTTTAATAAAAAAAATCTAAGCCTAATAGTTTTTTGATTTTTTTACTATTAATTAAATAAAGGAAAACAAAATAAATAGAAAAATACAAACAAAACAAAATTTCCCAAATGGGCTAGAATGCTAAAGAAAATAATGGGTGTGAGTCTTTCGATTCAAGGGGGAATGATATGAGTAGCTTTCGATTGAGGTCTGTGAGTCAACATGAGGGTCCTTCGTTTATCCCTTCTGACTCCTTCGTTTGGACTGTAAAGGGACGTTGACCTGGAAAACAACATGAAGGTGCCTCTTTCGTTCGAGGCAGACAGGAAATGAAGGGAGAAGCCTAAAGTTTCGTTTCACACTGATCCTTTTCTTTTTGTTTGAGTATGTACAATAGTTAGTTCTAACATGTATATTTAGACAAGAAAAAAACATGCAATCGAACAGGACAAAAATAAACAGCGAATAGATGTTATATACATGCCATGATGAAACGAAAGGTGCAAGGTTAAGGAGACTTACCTTGCTGGAAAATTGAACTTGTGTGAGGACTAGAGTTGTTTGGATACTCCTAGATTCAAAAAGAGAGAGGAAGGTGTGGTGTGATCTTGTTGAGTTTTGAGAGTTCTTTGATGTGCTTCTCCCTTTCGTCTAATCCTTCTGTGTAAGTGTCCACCCTTTTTGGCTTGCAAGCATGATGCTTATATAGTGTAGAAGGGAGGGGACAAGAAGACAATAGTTTAAACTTCCATAAACAAACGTTTTCAAGGCCATGAATGAAGTTTTATAACTGTGGCAAAAAACATGGGATCTTGTCCTCTTTTGAAATTTGAATACATGTGGACATTTTGGCTCCTTCAAATGCCTTCAGTTTTCATCCTTCGATTGGACCTTAAATTGCGTTTTTTCGAATGGACCTCATGTTGCCTTTTTTTGAATAGACCTCATGTTGCCTTTTTTCGAATGGACCTTATTTTGTCTATTTTCGAAAGGACCTCATGTTGTCTCTTTTTGAATGGACCTCATATTGTCTCTTTTCGACTAGGCCCCTGGTGTAGCCTTCAAATAGGCCTTCTGCATGCTCCTTCGAATTGTTCTGATTCAGCTCCTTCGAATGGCCAGCAATATGTGTCCTTCGAATGGACTTTTGGAATGCCATAGTGTAGAAATTGGGCTGTCAAAACTTAGCATGAAGGAAGTTCCTGCCTTGTACAAGAAGGCATGTAGCAGGTGTTTGCCTTATAGGCGTGAAGAAAATTCCGGCCTTGTGCAGGCAGGCATGCAGGCCATTTGTCTCAATGGGGCATGTGTGAAAGAAACCAAGGGTGCTTAAAATGAAGGAGGCGTAGAGATGCCCCAAACGAAAGAAGCCAGAGGTGCTTCAAACGAAGAAAGCCAAAAGGATTTCCCCTTCTTTTTTAATCGAAGGGAGCCATTTCAAAGGAAAACAAAACTCAAATGAAGATTTGTGGACCAAAGCTTGATCGAAGGGTGTTAAATATCCAATTGAAGACTAGTGAGTCAGGCTTGTATAGAAGGTTTTTAAGGGCTCAGTCGAAACTTGTTGTTGCACCAATCGAAGGGCACTGTTTATCTGCCAATCAAAGGACATTGTTGAACTGTCAATTGAAAGGCACTTTGCTAATATTCAAAATTTTCCTCTTTCTTTAACCAAGTTTTTGTAACCACCATGTGAGGGGAAAATCTTGGGAAGATATGGGAGGGGGAATTTTTGGGTACAACACTGTGATTAGTGTTATGAAAGTTGACTCCAATACCACAAGAAAAATCAATGATCATGTAGAAACCACTATTGAGGAACCACATGTTGAGTCACATGTTGATTCACACGTTGAAGCAAATGTTGAAACATTTGTTCCAACATCCGGTGATCCACAGACTGAAACCCATGTTGAACCCACTTTTGTTGAACCTCCCATTATATCCACTGATCAACCACATGATAAAGAAAATCCTAGTGAAAAATATATAATGGTTAAGGGACATACTATCGATATACTTGTTTTGGCTACAAATGTGAATGACATCTTGGATGAAAATGATGATTGATCTGAAGATTTGAGGGATGAGAACCCTCAAAGTAAAGTGCTCGGGGTTCAAAGTGAAAGAAATAAGGTAGCTGATGAGGATGATGACATTCCTATTTCCAACATAATGAAGATGATTAGTAAGAGTGTTAGTGTGATACGGTGGCAGAACCGGATGTTTGAAATGATGGTTTGCATTTTTCGTATTTTGGTTCACAAAATGTCGCGGTAAGCAAGAGTCGCCACCGACTTTTATTTCATCTAACCGGACAGGAAAAAAGTACAGAAAAAAATCCCTTTTCGAGATGTTTCTGAGTACAAGGGGTAGATTATAGAAAGGGAAGGTGTTAGCACCCTTTCTATCCATGGTTTTCCATGGGCTCTTAGGTACTTGTTCATCTTTTTAAATTGCTTGTGTACGTGCTTTGTTTTGAAAAATGTTTTACTTCGTGATAACCCTTGTATCAGTCCTCAAGGATGTGACGAAGTTGTTTTGAAAGTTTGTTTGAAAAATGTAAGTGTGAAAAGCTTTGATTTGAGTAAGTACCTACTAGCATCTACCTACTCGGAAAAAAATTGTTTCTATTCTTGTTTCCTTTACACAACGATATCCCACTATTGAGAAATAGGTACCACCGTCGTTGGAGTTGTAAGGGTCAATTCGAAAGGGACATGCGATCACTAAAGCCATGTTAGGACATCTTAGTAATAACCCTAGAGTCTTAAGATCATATTCGAGGCAACATTTCCGAGGCAACATTTCCGAGGGGACATTTGATCTTTGTTAGACAGGAGGACAACCATTAAAACACCCTATGCTTAGTGATCATTTACCGAATGAAATCGAAGTGTGAGTATACCCTAAGAGTGATATGTGCGAGTGATTTGTTTTTAGTTATTTATCTTTGCACATTAGGGTTTTCTAACTGTATTAAATTATCATGCAATCTTGTCATACAATCCTATTAACATACATCTAGACAGTTAAATATTTGCAGAAATTAAGATGCGAGAAGGGATTAAGTACATAGCCAAAAACCCAGAAAAAAATGAAATGCCCTAGATTAAACTATTACAAACCATGCGCATTTACAGAAATATTGACAAAATAAGTAATATGCGCGCGATGAATCGAATACGAGATTTAGGGTTTTGACCATTGCCTAAACCTAATTGCGATTAGTTATAAAAATGTTTTTGTTTTGTTTGGTTATTTAGGAAAATAGAGAAAATTATTACATTAAATTAAAAAAGAAGAAAAGCCTAATTCTAATTAATTTTATTTTTTTTTAAAATGAACTAATTTATTCTAAAGCCTATTTTTTGTGTATTTTTATTTATTTGAGAAAAATAGAAAATAAAAATAGAAGTTAACCTAATTCTCTAATTTAATTTTAATTGTGAAAATAAATCAAGGTTTCCCTAGGTTAAACTAAATTACATCAAATAAACTAAAATAAAAATGTCTAATTCTAATTTTTTGGATTATTGATTTTATGATTTTTTATGAAAAATAAATTAATTTGTGAATTAAAATAAATATTGAAAATAATAAAAGAATAAAAATAAATAAGCAAAGAAAGATTGAGATGAGCCTGCATTAGCAAATGGTGGGGGTGTGGTTTGAGATTCTGAGCCCAACTAAACCAGGCTCGTTTGACTTCGTTGGATTCGCTGCACACGTTGACTTAGGATGCAGGATGGTCCTTCAATGAAAGGCGCTAGATCCTGGCTAGCTGATGAATCTGACGGTTGGATCTTGATGCCTCATGATAGACTCCAAAGAGCGTGACGTAATAGAACCTATAGAGAAATTCAGGAAAATGAAAAAGTACCACACCTGGGGTCGAACCCAGGACATGTACCTTATAGTCTCTCCCTCTTGCCTATTGCGCTGGAATCTTTAGTCATAATATTAGTGAAATAAATAAAACAAAAGGCAAACAAGGTGCTAGTGCTGAATCCAAATGGCACGCGTGCACTGTGGGGCCCTGGGAGCTTGAGTGGACCAATCGGTTTTGGAGAGAGGAAGAACTCGTTTGATCCCAACCAATGAGGCCATGGGAAATAGCCACGCGGGCATTGACCGCCCCCTGCAAAAATCAAACCACCGGCCCTGGTGTCTCCGGTCACCTTCTTCAGCGACCCTCCAAGACCGATCCTGCAAAACACGCGTCATCAAGGTATAAAAAGGACCATACCCCCCCCCCCCCCTCTCCCCTTAAAATTTCCCCATGAATCCCGTGGTGATATCCATTCATCCTAAAAATGCATGTATCATAAAATCTGAAGCTTGCTTCTTCCCAAACCCTAACAATGGTGTCTTACGATCCTGGGCTTATTCCTCACATGAAATACGTCCAAAATTTTATGAATAATGCCAATAGTATGAATATGCAAGCATAATGCATTTATATTAAGGATGGAACGGGTTTTAGAAATCGAAAAGTTACCAATATGAGAGGGTTGGGTTGGCACGATTTGGCCCTTGCAATTGGTCTGGTTCCACTCTTAGAAATCTCAGAATGATGATGGAGGGTTGGAATCGAGGGAAAGGGTTTGGCTTGAATGTTTGAAGATTTCACCACATATTTAAATTTTGATAAACTTTTCCCTTGAGGCAGGCTACGTATTCTCTCCCTTTTAGGGTTGGAATGTCTTGCTTAAATAGTGAATCAACATTAGGTTAACATATATGAACAAAATCAAATGATTTGAATAAGTTTTCAAAATAAACCCAATATTTCCTATTTTGAAGATTCTCCTCCTTTATCAATCTTACACGATTTCTTTTTGTTATTGCCAGCATGTATGGATTGTGGTTCAATGCAAAATCAAATCAAAACAAATCTTTAGTATTTTTTGCTATTTATTTGAATTAATTTAACTTTTTAATGATAAAATCAAAATAAAATAAATAAATAAATAAAGCAAAAGGTGAATGGGTGATGATTTGGATCGTGGACTATGTTAGGAATGAGACGCAAGCATAAAAAGTTGGGCCCATTTAGCAAAAAATGCAAATTTGAGCATGTTTGACTTTTGGTAATTTTGCAAAAAATGTCAACTTGGCCAATGCATAACTCTCTCAATTTTGAATCTAGAGAGGTGTTCTTGGACTTTTTAGAAATCTTAGGATGTCCTCTAAGAAACCCTTTTGGTCTCATATCAATTGAGTCTTCCATGTTCATGTATGAAGCTTTGACCCAAAAGGTGTTTTTGTTGACTTTTCAAAATGACCTATAATGTCCAAATTCATATCTTCTTGTGAGTGGATATTTTGAACTTGGGAGATGAAGATGAATTGTATAGAATTGCATCCTCTTCAAAATTAGATTTGAATAGGTCATTTTTGATAAAGTATGAGAAAGTTATGCTTGGTCAAATTGAGTTGACTTTTCCTACAAAACCCTAATTTAGCAACTTTTGGGTTTTGATGAATTGTGAGCAATCCTTGATGAATCATGATCAAACCTTGATCAACTGATTAATGAAACTTCAAAATGAGGATGTTGACCAAAAATCTTGAAGTTTGATTGTATGTGGGCCACAATTGACTTTTGACCTAGCATAGTCGATTTCTAGGTATTTGAGCAATTGACTATGCATACTTCCTCTGCAAAGCTTGAAACTTGACATGGATGATCTTGAGAACATATTAGGACAATGGTGAGCATTTGGGATCCTTTGGACTCAAGCATATTGATGCAAAAATGAAACCCTAATTTGAGGTAAACTGCCTTAGGAGAGAGTTTGTCTGGTCAACTTTTAGACCTCCTTGAGAAAATTGAGGACCTCACTTGACATGTATTGAGAAATATGGGAGGGAAAATTTTGGGGTACAACAGCTGCCCCTGTTCAATCTTCTTAAACCTGAGGATGTAGATTGGCGTGTCTGCCTTTCGTGATCTGAAGGTGGAATATGATTGAACACTAGAGTGCCCAGAAATTTGCACTCGCATGAAGTGATACTGGTCTTGTGATATCGAGAATGGTCTTATAGATGCCATTTAGTAGTCGCTAGAGAATTTTCGGAGATGGGCTTAAATATGCCATTCGAAGAAGTGTTGATCGCATAAGAGATTCCTTTGCGAGAACCCGTATACCTGTTTCTTAGGAGGACTTCGCTGGGGAATGTTAGTCTTTGTCTTGAGAGAAAAAGAGTTTTAGGAGCTTCAGTTGTCCGTTACTCTACTGGGGAATAATTCTGGTTTGGGAGACAGAAGTGAACTGTGTGTTTGGTCGGGGTATATGTTGCACCGCGACTTTCTGGGGAAATGTGAAATCAATTGTGTTTGATTGGGTCTCGGTTATGAGAAGGAACCTGGGTAGTAGGGTTACTTCGAAACGAAAGCCTGGATAGTAGGGCTGTGAGAAGGAACCTGGATAGTAGGGTTACTTCGTAATGAAAGCCTGGATAGTAGGGCGGTGAGAAGGAACCTGGATAATAGGGTTGCTTTGATATAAAAGCCTGGATAGTAGGGTTGTGAGAAGGAACCTGGATAGTAGGGTTACTTCGAGATGAAAGCCTGGATAGTAGGGATATGAGAAGGAACCTGGATAGTAGGGTTACTTCGGGATGAAAACCTGGATAGTAGGGCTGTGAGAAGGAACCTGGATAGTAGGGTTACTTCGATATGAAAGCCTGGATAGTAGGGCTGTGAGGAGGAACCTGGATAGTAGGGTTACTTCGATATGAAATCCTGGATAGTAGGGCTGTGAGAAGGAATCTGGATAGTAGGGTTACTTCGATATGAAAGCCTGGATAGTAGGGCTGTGAGAAAGAACTTGGATAGTAGGGTTACTTTGATATGAAAGCCTGGATAGTAGGGTTGTGAGAAGGAACCTGGATAGTAGGGTTACTTCGATATGAAAGCTTGGATAGTAGGGTTGTTCTTATCATGCCGATGATTACTCTGTTTAGCTTCGAGTGTTGATCATGGACCTGCTGGAAGTTGCTGAGAATAACTGTCTTTCCTGAAATAAATATAGGGTTAGTTATGTGCGATGCATGAGATGCAT